GCAGTGCAAACTGGTGTAGCCACTATGGAAAGCAGTTTGGAGTATCCTCAGAAAATTAAGGATAGATCTACCATATGATCCAGCTATTCCACTGCTGGGTATTTATCCAAAGAACTTGAAAACACAAAGGCATAAAGATACTCGCACCCCTATGTTCATTGCGGCATTATGTATCCACTTTTAATATCCATATTGTTATACTCTTTATTTGGTTATTTCTGTTTTCTTTTACTGGAGAATGGGTCCATTTGATACCAGTTTTTTCTGGCATTTGTTGAGATTTGCTTTTTGATTTTGTAATGGGCCGGTTTTTATAAGTGTTACGTGTTTGTTTGGAAAGAATACATTTTTCTAACTTTTGGGTGTAAGTTTCTATATATGTGCATAAGATTAAAGTTGTTAACTTTGTTGTTCAGTTTTTTTGTATTCTTACTAAGGTTTATTTCTTTGTGATTTATTATCTGTTATTTAAAAATCCTTATTATAGTGTCGAATTTATTAATTTTTTTCTTATAATCATCAGTATTTTCACAACTCTTTTGTAGCTATGTTCTTAGGCACATCCTATTCATAATTGCCATTTCAGGGTGTTTTCTTTTACAATTATGTTAAGGAATTTTTTAAAAATCTTAATGATTATGGCTTTAGAATCTATTTTGACTGGCATTAATATAGCTTCCTTATCTTTTGTTTAACATCTGCCTGGTTTAGCTTTTCCATCACTTTTTTTTTTTTTTAAAGATTTTTAAAATTTTTCCTTCTTCTCCCCAAAGCCCCCCCGGTACATAGTTGTGTACTTTTACTTGTGGGTCCCTCCAGTTGTGGCCTGTCAGGCCTCAGCATGGCCTGATAAATGGTGCCATGTCTGCACCCGGGATCCAAACCAGTGAAACCCTGGGCCGCCGAAGCGGAGTGCATGAACTTAACCACTCGGCCGTGGGGCTGGCCCCCTTCCATCACTTTACTTTTAACCTTTCCACGTCTTTATGTTTAGGTGCATCCTTTTAAAACAGATTATTGCTGATTTAAAAAAAATTGTTCATTTTGGTTTTATTTGTGATCCAGTGTGATGTTGCTGTCTTTTAATAGGTGAATTTAATTCATTTATGAATTTTATGATTATCAGTGTATTTGTATTTATTTCTAGTATCTTGTGCTATTTATTATAGGTTTTGCTTGTTTGTTTACATGCATACTTGGTATTTTTTCCTTCTTTCCTGCATTCTGTTGACTTGGTGAAATTTAATTTTACTTCTCTTTTTCTTCTTTGGAAATTCTATAGTCTATTTCAAATATTTTAATGTTTATCGTTAAATTTTTAACATTTATAGTTTACCTAAAGTCTAGAGTTAATCAGTTTCTCTATCATATTCCTAATCAAAACAAGAAACTTAGTTTATCTTATACTCTATACAAAAATTAACTCAAAATGGATCAAAACCTAAATGTAAGAGCTAAAACTATAAAACTCTTGGAAGAAAACATAGGGGGAAAGCTTTATGACACTGAAGTTGGCAGTGATTTCTTGGATATGACACCAAGCAATAGGTAACAAAAGAAAAAACAGATAAATTGGACTACTTCACCATTAAAAATTTCTTTGCATCAAAGGACACAATCATCACAGTGAAAAGGCAGCCTATGGAACGGGAGAAAATAGTTGCAAATGATATGTCTGATAAGAGGTTAATATCCAGAATATATAAAGAACTTTATCCAGAATGTACGAAGAATGTAAAACTCAGTAACAAACAACCGAATTCAAAATGAGCAAAGGACTTGAATAGACATTTCTCTTAAGAAGATTTACAAATGGCCAACAAGCACATGAAAAGATGCTCAGCTTCTCTATTCGTTAGAGAAATGCAAACCAAAACCATAATGAGATACTGCCTCATATCCATTAGAATGGCTACTATCAACCCCACCCCAAAACCAAAAAAACAGAAAATAACAGGTTTGGTGAAGATGTGGAAAAATTGAAATTCTTGTGCACTGTTAGTGGGAATATGAAAAGTTAGAGCCACTCTGGAAAACAGTATGGAAGTTCTTCAGAAAATTAAAAATAGAATTGCTTTATGATCCAGCAATTCCACTTTTGGGTATATACTCCACAGAATTGGAAGCAGGGACTCAAACAGATATTTTTACATCCATTCTCATGGTTGCATTATTCACAATAGCCAAGGGATTTAAAGCAAGCCAGGTGTCCATCCACAGATGAATAGATACAGAAAATGTGGTATATACATACAGTGAAATATTATTCAACCTTAAAAGGAAAGAAGTTCTGACACATGCTACAACCTGGATAAACCCTGAAAACATTATACTAAGTGATATGTTAGACACAAGAGGACAAATATTGTATGATTTCACTTATGTCAGGTACCTAGAGTAGTCAAATTCATAGAGAGGAAGTACAGTGGTGGTTGCCAGGACCTGGGAGGAGGGGGAATCGGGCAGTTATTGTTTAACTGGTGCAGAGTTTCAGTTTTGCCAGATGAAAAGAGTTCTAGAGATGCATAGTGGTGATAGTCGCCCAGCAAGGTAAAAGGTACTTAATGCTACTGAACCGTGCGCTTAGAAATGGTTATGATGGTAAATTTTGTGTTATGGGTATTTTCCCACAATTAAAAATAATAATTGAAAAGCAAAAAATAAAAATTATAAAAACAAGAAACTTAGAACACTTTAATTCTAATTGCTCCTTCAGTAACATGTTATTGTTTTCTAGTATTTTAGTTCCATCTTATTTTTCAACCTTCAAGTAGTTGTTCCTTCCTCCTCCTCCACCTGCTTTTCCTCCTGCTCCTCCTCCTCCTCCTCCTCCTCCTCTTTGTATTCTGCATTGTCCTCTTCTTCCTTCTCTTCATCATTATTCTACCCAATTAATGACCATTTAGATGCATGGTAAAGTTTACTAATATCTTGTTCACAATTACTTCTAGTATCACTTTGTTCCATCTCGGTTAAATTCTTGTCTTCTGAAGTGTGTCCTTTAGTACTTCTGTCTATCTGAAAGGGTCTACACGTGATAGTCCACTGAGTCTTTGTGTGAAAATGTCTTTATTTAACCCTCATTCCTGTATCATAATTGAGGTAGGTAGGGAATATAATATTAAGAATTATTTTGTCTTACCACTTTGAAGATATAATTCCAATTTCTCCTGATTGCTATGTTAGTATTAATAATTCAGCTGTCAGTCTGTCATTCCTTGGTAGGTGCTCTCTCTTTATTCTTAAGTGTTTTTAAGATCCCTTTGCCTTTGCTGCTCTGCAATTTAACTACGGTGTGTATAGAAGTGCATCTGATTTTATTTATCTTTTTGTATCTTTTACCTATCCACTGTGTTCTTTATTTCAGTGACTAGTTTTTTTAATTTCTAGGACTTCTATTTGATTTTTTTCATCTCTCTTTTCCTTTTCTTATGCTTTTGATTTTTAAGAAAAGTCTTTAATACTTTTAAACATACTTATTTCATAAAGTGGAACTGATGCTTGTTAGGGATCTTGCTGTATAGTTTGTTCATATTTGTGCCTTTTGTTCAAATGGGATGTTTCCCTATTTAGTTTATATTATGGGATTGTGAGCTCATCTTCAGTGGGTTTTTTTGTGTGAGAATTACATGTGGCTAAGTTTGAGAATGTGTCCCCCAGAGTAGTTTTGAATTTTTTATGCCCAGCTTTCTAGGGCACCTAACCTGGTGTTGATATTTTTGCCATTTTCTTGGCTTGACAACTTCTGGACTGCAGAAGCACTGTGAATTAGAATCCCAGACAGTAGGACAATGTGACCTAAAGTTAGGAATTTCTAGAGGAGGAATTTTTCTTCACGTATCAGCCATAATCAAGATTAAAAAAATGTCTTACTTTTCTCTGCTGAGTGGCAGATTTTTATAATTCACCTTTTCACTGACAGTGTACCCTTTATGGTAAAGGTTGTATGGGGCAGCCTCTCGCTTCAAATGTCTTGTAAGCTCAAGGTCTTTCCTTTTGTCCCTTTTACATTAAAATGCAATTTGACAACCCCACTCCTGCTGCACTGCTTACCAGCCTGGTTCTCAACCATTTCTTCATTACTGGCCCCTAAGAATTTCTCTTTTTTAATAAAATGCTTTATAAAAGTGGTTATATTTTATTAAGTATTTTTAAGAGTTTATAATGGAAGAGTTTTCAAGTTATTTAATCTCAGTATTGCCAAAGAGGAAGTCTATTTTAGTGATTTTTAAGATGGTAATTTAGTCTAGAAAATTGAGAATATTAACTGTTATTCTACCTTGAGAATGTTCATTTTCTGATACTTTCTTTTAAAACATATAAAGAACCAATTTTCTTTTATTTCAAAGTTCTTTACTGGATATGTGCCAAGGATATTTTTTTTAGCTGTTATTCTTTAATTTATATCTACCTTGCCATAATTGTATGCCCAATTATTTTTCTCTATTGGGACTTTATTTTTTGAAGGATGTATTTTCCCCCTTTTATAATTTTTTGGATTAATAAGTAGTTTGTGGGACATTGTTAACATTTATTTCCTTAGGTTTCCGTTAAAGTGTTTTAAAATAATCTCTAGTCTGCTTATAAGTATTAGCCAAGTTTTTTCAGTTTTTCCCCCCAATTGTAAAATTTCCACAGTTCCGTTTTTTTCTATGTACATGTTGGACAGATAATATCAATAATAAGACTGTTCTAAACTAAATATGCAATTTGTTGTTAATGACTGCGGTGTTCAAATCATATTGGTACCCTGAGTGTAGTCATTTAAGTAATGGCTATAATAAAAGTTCTATCGTGTTGTGAAACCTAGAGAACTGTTAGGGTGGAGATTATAAAAGATTTAACTTATATGTACAAGGAGGTTAAATTCCGATAAGGCAAAGTCAGAGCTGTTATGAAGTAATGTCTATCGTGTATCTAAGTAAATGTAAATATTTTTAATTTAAAATTATTGTTTCTAATATATTATAGTAGATTACTAAAAATATGAACTTCCTCAGGTGCAGTCCTCAGTGGCTGTTGGAACTCCGGATTATATCTCTCCTGAAATCCTTCAAGCCATGGAAGATGGAAAAGGCAGATATGGACCTGAGTGTGACTGGTGGTCTTTGGGAGTCTGTATGTATGAAATGCTTTATGGAGAAACGCCGTTTTATGCAGAATCTCTGGTGGAGACATATGGAAAAATCATGAATCATAAAGTTAGTATATTTTACTATTTTTCAAATTAATGTGGTAAATAATACATATAATGCATTTAAAGTAATGTGATATTTAAAAAAGTATTTTTCTGAAAACAATAAACAATCTAATTTTTATGCTAATAGAGGACGTGACAAACATGAATAATAAATCCATAAATTATACATAAAATTGTTAGTTCTAACCTTCTGCTGTATTTTATTAGAGATGCTAGTAAGTAGGATATTAAATGGTCTCTCCAGTAGAATAATAGACAAAGATTACAAGCAGACAATTTATATCATTGCTACAATAGTAAAATCATGACTAGAATGTATTTAAAAAATTCTTAACATTAGTAGTAATAAATGAAATGCAAATTAAAATAAAAATGAGAAACGTTTTCTGTCCTGTCAAATTGGCAAAGATGAAAAGGAAAATAGTACTTTTACTGTAAATAATCCAGTGAGATGGACATTGTTAGACATTGTTGGTAGGAATATAAATTGATGTAACCTCTTCTGTCAAGAAGTGTATAAATATGCATCCAGAGCCTTAAAAAAAGGGTTAGCACTTTTGATTGAGCAACTTCAGTTCTAGGAATCTACCCTAAGGAAATATTCAGTGGAACAAAGATGTATGTACATGGACACCGATTCCAGCATTATTTATGATCACTAAACATTGGAAACAATCTGGATGCACAACAGAAATCACTTAATAAAACTTTAATCCATTTAGTACCAAGTGAAATAGAAATAGATTGTTCATAATAATAAGAAGAAGGTTTAATTAATTGGCTCAAAAGATTGTGAGCAGTTGCAAGGACCTGGAATATGAGTAGGAATATCCCATAAAGGGAGGGACAGTCTATTCTTTTTAACTTGTTCTGGAGATACAGTTATGATTAGTTGCTTCACATGTATATAAATCAGTTTTATAGATTTGATGCTCTTCTGCCTGGCTCCAAAGATAATCTGCTAAATAGTTATGAAGAGTTGAAAGACAGGAAGTTAGCTACAAAGTTGTAAATAGCATGGAAAGCATTTCAGAGAGAAATCGTTATACTAGAGCAAGGTTGTTAAGAGCATGGATTCTGGAGTCAGACAGCATCGATTCAAATCCCAGATTGCTTGAACTCTCTGTGCCTTTGTTTTCTGGTCTATAAAGTTAGGGTAAAGTAGTACCTACCTTAGACAATTGCTATGAGGATTAAACAAGTTCTGTGAGTAAAGCACTTCCAATGGTGTCAAGTACATATTACATTTTTTGAAAATGTTTGTTATTATTGCTTAATCATTAATGAGACTTATATGACCATCATCAATCTCTCTACGCTCTATTGAAATTTTGAGTCAAATTCTACTGCTTTTAATGAATTCTCTTCATTCTAAGGTATTTTAGCATTTAATTTGTTCTTCTTTCCTCAGTGCATGTAAGAACTAAGTCACTTATGAAATTAAAAGTTCTTTTAGGCAAATGAACTTTTCTCATCCATCCCTGTGTCTTTTTTACTATCAGTACTTTGTACCAGTGTACACTTGTTATTTTTAAAAGAAAATGTATTTTTAAAAAAGTAAATGTTAATCAACCTACTTAGTAAGTTAATTACTGATTTCTATTTTGTTTCTCTTATTCTCTGTTTAGGAAAGGTTTCAGTTTCCAGCTCAAGTGACTGATGTGTCTGAAAATGCTAAGGATCTTATTCGAAGGCTCATCTGTAGCAGAGAGCATCGACTTGGTCAGAATGGAATAGAAGACTTTAAGAAACACCCATTTTTCAATGGAATTGACTGGGATAATATTCGAAACTGTGAAGCACCGTATATTCCAGAAGTTAGCAGTCCAACAGATACATCAAATTTTGATGTGGATGATGACTGTTTAAAGAATTCTGTAAGTATGACATTGTGAAGAAGTTCTGTCCCTCTGTTTCTTTTTAATGTGGTTATAAAGCAGTTTTATGGACCACCTTATCAATTATCAGTTAACTGTTATCATGGTTCTAGTATTTATTTTCTCATAAATCAGGAAATTAAGAGAGTTAACTGAGATGAACATAGTTATTCGTGACTAGGAGCACAAAAAATTCAAAGATTTACTTCTTAGATTAGTTATGCCATTAGGTTTCCTAAGAAGAGGACAAATTAGATGCTTGAAAAAGTGGACTTCCTGATGGCAGAGAAGAGGTTGGCAAATCTCTCCTTTAAAAAGTCATGAAATTGGACAAAATTGTCAAAAATAACCATTTCAGGGCTTGACACATCAACCCAAAGTAAGTAAATTGAGAATCGTTTATTTCTGGAAAACTCTGAACTTGGTTAAAAACAGCCCCCTCCCCATGTCCTTTAGCTTGATTGGGACGGGAGAACTGCTGGTATGGAGCTGCTTAGCAAAACCAGCAGTTTTACTGCCGAGGGGGCTGACTTGATCTGAGAGCTGAAGACCTGTGCCCGATGGTGCTGCCCCTACAAACAGCAGCCTTGGTAGGAGATGAATGGGAAAGGGAAATCAACCCTACCAGCCTGCAGTCATAGCCCTGTTTCAGGCAAGTGGCCCACAGCAGATTAGCCAAATGCTCCATCAACCATTTTTAGCTTGTGGGCCATATTGAAACAGGGCAGCACAGTTTGTCAGCTTGTGCTCTCAACCAGTAGGTTATAGTAAATTAAAATCTAGGAAAATAAGAACATAAAATTTTTATGTTTTTTTATCTTTTTGGTCTTTTTAATTTGAACTTTTAGTTTTATTCAATTTCTTATGGTTTTAATTCTGTACTAAGAATTTTTATGTTAATTTTATATCACTTTTTACTGTTCAGTAAGTACCATATCCAAAGCAGATAAGAATTTCTCTTGTGCTTTCCTCTCTGGACCTCACAAGAAAGAATTAAATGTACTTTCCTCATCAGTTTTTTATTACAAGAATTGTATTTGCTATTAACAGAAATTGTGAGTCATTCCAAATTAAATATACGGTACAGTTGGTTTTGATTATTTGCGATAGTTGTGTTCAATAAAGTTGCTGAGAATACTGTATTAGTGAATATTGAACCATTGCTCCTAGGAGAAATACAGGGTTAGTTTCCTGTGAGCCTCTGGTCACAACATTTCCATTGACCAATCAAAACATAACCTTGTTTTATGTGTGTTTCTATTTAAAGACACCTTATTTAATATACATCGTTGAGTAATTAACATTGAACTCACGGGCCACAGCACTGTAACTCATGCCTGAGCGAAGCTTGGCTAACACATGTATTTCTTTTGTAAGGCACATCATAGCCTTCTTGCTTAGAAACAATAAATGGCACATCAGCTCTACGCTCAGAGGCCATTTAAGCAGTGAAATCACTTGTAAAAAGCACAAAAATGTGAAAACATGGTACACATAGACTTTGAAAAGAACACTTGTTTACAGAGTGAGAGCTAAGCCAGGAAGGCAGAGCATCTCCTTGTTCCACCCCAACTGGGGACATGTAAGTGAGCAACTCAAAATTTTCTTTGCCCTACACATACCTACAAATGACTGCAAAAGTACTGTGAGTACTGATTTGGAGTACGAATAAATTTTAGTGACTAGGCAAATTTGCATATGTGGAATACATGAATAATGACTGTACTTTGAGTATCAGTCAGACTTTCGATCTTTATTTTCATTTTATTAGAATTTTACAATAGCAATGTTCATGGTCTAAATTTTATATTATTAAACATCTGTACCAAACTTATCAGTATTTCTAAATTGAACAGTCACATATTTCCTTTTGACAGTTAATATTTATAGCCCAACCTCCAAGTCTTAGTTATTTATTTCTTACCAGCTGTTTTTTCCTCCTTTAGGAAACAATGCCCCCACCAACACATACTGCATTTTCTGGCCACCATCTGCCATTTGTTGGTTTTACGTATACTAGTAGCTGGTAAGTTTGAAAAGTTAACGTAATTTGGACAATTTAAAGCAAATTAAAATGAATTGAGGTTTTAAAAAATGTATAAGAGAGACATAAATCAAAAATTTTAAAAAATAGGATGAATCTACTACTGGGAAAAGTTACACATTGCAAAATGAATAGAATGTATAAGAATCTTAACTCATTTTGGAGGAGAAAAAATAGGACAAATAGAGAGCTCAGAATCTATCTGTTAACATTGGGGCAAGAATTAGATGGGTCCCATGCTGTTGAATAAATGTTCTTTAGGTGTCAAGCATCAGAACTTTCAGCTCGTTAATCTTAAGCATCTTTTCACTGACCCTTATTCGACTCATCTTTTCTTTCCTCCTTACCCAGTTTAAATTCCACTGAGAATGATTATAATCATTCCTTGTGTACCCCTTCAGTTCTTTGTGTCTCACTCTAAGTTGACATTCATTATTACAATTCAATTTTCTGCTTGTACCTGTGCAATTCAGTGTGTCTAGAGAAGAATATCTGGCCATTCTTACTGGTCTCAACCTCAAGTGCCCCTGATTGCTGCCTGGCAAGTGTACTGTATTACCATAGTGTATCCACTCCTCTTCTCTCCTAGATAACTATTCTATACTTTATACTTTCCTCTGAAACCTCTGTCATCCTCACTCTCAGCTGATGATCTCGCTTCCTCTTTCACTGAGAGGTTGAAGCAAACAGCAGATAACTTCCTCAAGTTCTCCTCACCAATTACCACCTGCCTACCTCTGGATCATGTACTCTTGTTTTTATGGATGAATTGTACGAGCTTCGAGCTAAGGCCCGCTCCTTCTGTCCCCTCTTGCCTACTAGTGCATTGCTTGCTGTTACATCATAAGTTTTTCTCTTTCTGTGTCACTTGCATAATCAGGTCATTCCCATCAGCTCACAAACATGTAGTTTTTCCTCCCTTCTTTTTTTTTAAAGATTGTGTTTTTCCTTTTTCTCCCAAAGCCTGCTGGTACATAGTTGTGTATTTTTAGTTGTGGGTCTTTCTAATTGTGGCATGTGGGACACCGCCTCAGCATGGCTTGATGAGCGGTGCCCTGTCTGTGCCCAGGATTCCAACTGGTCAAACCCTGGGCCACTGAAGTGGAGCGCTTGAACTTAACCACTTGGCCACGGGGCCGGCCCCTTCCTCCCGTCTTCAAAGCAAAATGTAAAATCTTTCTTAATGCCATTTTCTTTACCTGCTACCAACCATTTCTCTGCTCCACATTATAGCAAAATTACATCAAACTGTATTTTGTCCATTTTTCTTGTACTCTTCTCTCAGTGCCACTCCAGGCAGGTTTGTGCTCCCATCGCTTTGTGCAGACTGCTTTTATCGATGTCACCACTGAGCTCCATGTTGCTGAATTTAATGATCATCTCTCAGCCCTAGTCTTACTTATTTGCCTAGTCTCATCTTAGTTGTCATGGCCCCTTCCCATTAAAACACTTTCTTCTCTTGGCTTGCGGGGCACTTGCCTGATTTCTTCTTACCTTTCTGGCCACTCCTTCTCAGTCTCCACATCAGATACCTCCTAATCTCCCAGTGTCCCATGGCTTAGACTTTGCATGTTTTCCATCTATATTCTATGGTGCTCTCCCAGATTTTTGCTGATGACTCCTGAATGTGTATCTCCAGGTGAGACCTCTTCCCTCCCTTCTTAAAATCTCTCTTAACCACCTGCTTCAGATGTTCATAAGGTCATTTCTTATATTTCTCTGAATCTATTTTAGTGATCCTGCTAAAAGATGAGTCAGAACATGTTACTCCCCTGTTCAGGACCAATGGCCGCTGCTCCCAGCCCTCAGCCCCTGCGGCTTCCTATCTTAACTCCAAACCAAAGTTCTTATAACTTTATCAAGTTCTATGTACATTCATCTTTCTGATTCTATTTCCTACCACTCTTGCCCTTACTCACTCCACTCCAGCCACACAGGTCTGCTTTCTGGCCCATGAACATGCCAGACATACTCCTGTCTTAGGGCTTTTGCACTTCTGTTCCATCTGCCTGGCATGTTCTTCCATCCCCTTGCTCTCTCTGGACTTTATTCAGTTACTTTCTGAGTGGTGACTTCCCTGACCACTTTGTCTAAGTTTTCTTTCTTTCTCCTCAAGACTTCACTTTCCCCTTTCCTGCTTTATGTTTCCTCCTTAGGATTTAAAACTGTCTAAAGTACTGAATATTTTACTTAGCTTGTTTATTTTTGTCCCTGTAACTGGAATGTAAGCTCTGCGTGGGCAGGTTTTGACTCTTTTGCTCACTGCTGAATGTCCAACACTTCAAATATTTTTAGTTAAATTGTGTTGAATTAAAGAAAGCATTTCTCTTTTGAATTCTGGGTTCTGGTAGAGAGGACCATGGTTAGTGCTCTTGACTTCTATTTCACTTTGGTGGTCACAGTGTTTTGAACTGCCAATAACCCTTCAGCAAACTTCATTTTATAATTTGTGATTATTAAAATAAATTCAAGATGATTTGAGCAATTTATGTTTTCATTTTTAAAAATGCTTCTAAAAGCTCATTGTTTGTGATTTTGCAAAAAATGTGTATTATAATCGTTCTAGATGGCAAACTGTAACTAGATACTCAAATTCATGTTTTAAGTGAACATTTCAAAAGGTTATCTTTTTTTCTTCAAACTTTTTATTTCAATGTAAATCCACTTTTTTTTTTCTTTTCTTCAGCGTTCTTTCTGATCGGAGCTGTTTGAGAGTTACTGCTGGTCCCACTTCACTGGATCTTGACGTTAACGTTCAAAGGACTCTAGATAACACCTTAGCAACTGAAGCTTATGAAAGAAGAATTAAGCGCCTTGAACAGGAAAAACTTGAACTTAGTAGAAAGCTTCAAGGTAAATATATTTTAAAGATGATATTTTCCCTTTTGAATTGGACTCAGTGTTATGAACTGTTTATTATAGGTGATTGTTTTACCTCAAAAAGGAATTTTTTTATTAAGTAGAAAAAATCAAGTTATAGAAATTTATGCAGAATATTGTATCATACCATTTCTGTAAACTCATGAAGTTAACAATAAACAGCAAAATAGTATTTGTTTCCCACACATGTATGAATAAATACCTTTGGGGAGAGGAAAATGGGACTACTGGGATAAAGGGAAAAAGTGTTATCCTAGTATAACACTTACATTCTGATGTGTGTCACTTGGCATAATGTGCTCAAGGTCCATCCATATTGCAAATAGGAGGGTTTCCTCCTTTCTTATGGCTGAATGATATTCCATTGTGTGTGTGTGTGTACCCCATCTTTTTTATCCATTCATCCACTGATGTGCATTTAAGTTGTTTCCATATCTTGGCTATTGTGAATAATACTGCAATAAACATGAGAGTGCATATCTCTTTGAAATCCTGTTTTCATTTCCTTTTGGTGTATACCCCGAAGTAGAATTGCTGAATCATATGTTAGATCTGTTTTAACTTTTTGAGGAACCTCCTTACTGTTTTCCATAGTGGTTTGACCAATTTACATTCCCACCAGCAGTGTAAGGATTCCCTTTTCACAACATCCTCACCAGCACTTGTTGTCTCTTGTCTTCCTGATGATAGACGTTAATGTGTGAGGTGATATCTCATTGTGGTTTTGATTTGCATTGATTTGCATTTCCCTGATGATTAGTGAGATTGAGTGTCTTTTCATGTGCCTGTTGGCTATTTTGATGTCTTCTTTGGAAAAATGCCTATTTAGTTTTTCTGCTCTTTTTTTTTTTTTTTGGTGAGGAAGATTGGCCCTGAGCTAACATCTATTGCCAATCTTCCTCTTTTTGCTTGAGGAAGATTGTTGCTGAGCTAACATCTGTGCCAATCCTCTTCTACTTTGTATATGGTATGCCTCCACAGCATGGCTTGATGAGTGGTGCTAGGTCTGTGCCCAGGATCTGAACCTGTGAACCCAGGGCCACCGAAGTGGAGCATTCAAACTTAACTGCTACGCCACTGGGCTGACCCCCCTGCCCATTTTTTAAATCAAGTTGTTTGTTTTTTGTCAAGTTCTATGAGTTCTTTATATGTTTTGGATATTAACCCCTGATATATCTGATATATGGTTTGCAAAAATTTTCTCCCATTCGGTAGGCTGTCTTTTCATTTTGTTGTTTCTTTTGCTATACAGAAGATTTTTAGTTTGATGTAGGCCCATTTGTTGATTTTTGCTTTTTTGTTGTTTGAGCTTTTGGCATCATATCCAAAATATCATTGCCAAGACCAGTGTCCAGGAGTTGCTTCTTGATGTTTTCTTCTAGGAGTTTTATGGTATCAGGTGTTATGTTTAAGTCTTGGATCCATTTTGAGTTAATTTTTGTGAAATAGGGGTGGAATTTCATTGTTCTGCATGTGTTTCTCCAGTTTTCCCAGCACCATTTGTTGAAGAGACCATCCTTTCTGCATTGGGTGTTCTTGGCTCCCTTGCTGAATATTAGTTGACCATATACCCTGGGATTTAATTCTGAGCCATTTGTTCTGTTTCCTTGGTCTATGTGTCTATTTTTGTGCTGGTCCCATACTGTTTTTATTACTATGGGTTGTAGTATAGTTTGAAATCAGGAAGCCTGATACCTCCAGCTTTGTTTTTTCCTCAGGATTGCTTTGGCTGTTCAGGGTCTTTTGTGGTTCAACACACATGTTGGGATTGTGTCTTCTATTTCTCTGAAGAATGCCTTTGGTATTTTGATAGATATTGTGTTGAATCTGTAGATGGCTTTGGGTAGTATAGATATTTTAACAATAGTAATTCTTCTGATCCGTGAACACAGGATGTCTTTCCATTTGTTTGTGTCTTCTTTGATTTCTTTCAGCAAAGTCTTATAGTTTTCATTGTACAGATCTTTCACTTCTTTGGTTAAATTTATTCCTGAGTATTTTATTGTTTTTGATGCTATTGTGAATGAGATAGTTTCCTTTATTTCTTTTTCAGATGCTTCATCATTAGTGTAAAGGAATGCAATTGACTTCTGTATGTTGATTTTGTATCTTTCAACTTTACTGAAATCATTGATTAGTTCCAACAGTTTTTTGGTTGACTCTTTGGGATTTTCAGTATATAAAATCATATCGGCAGCAATAGCAACAGTTTTATGTCTTTTTTTCTGATTTGGATTCCTTTTATTTCTTTGTCTTGGCTAATTGCTTTAGCTAGGACTTCCAATACTATGTTGAATAGTGAGAGTGGGCATCCTTGTCTTGTTTGTTATCATAGAGGAAAAGCTTTCAATTTTTCTTCCTTAAATACAATGTTAGCTGTGGGTTTGTCATATATGGCCTTTGTTATATTGAAGTGTGTTCCTTCTGTACCTAATCTGCTAAGTATTTTTATCCTGAAAGGATGTTGTGTTTTGTCACATGCTTTTTGTGTGTCTGTTGAGATGATCAGTTGATTTTTATGTTTCATTTTATTGGTGTGATGTATTACATTTATTGATTTGTGAACCTTGAACCATCTTTGCATCCCAGAGATAAATCCCACTTGGTCTTGGTGTATAATCCTTTTAATGTCTTCTTCAATTCAGTTTACTAATATTTTGTTGAGAATTTTTTGCATCTTTATTCATCAGGGATATTGGTCAATAGTTTTCTTTTCTTGTGATCTCCTTGTCTGGTTTTGGTATGAAGGTAATGCTGTCCTCGTAGAATGAGTTTGGAAGTGTTCCCTACTCTTAAACATTTTGGAAGAGTTTGAGGAGGATTGATGTTAATTCTTCTTTAAATGTTTGGTAGAGTTCTCCAGTGAAGCTCTCTGGTCCTACGGTTTTCTGTATTGGGAGGTTTTTGATTACTGAGTCAGTCTTTTTACTTATTATTGGTTTGTTCAGATTTTCTGTTTCTTCCTGATTCAATCTTGGTAGATTGTATGTTTCTAGAAATTTATCCATTTCTTCTAGGTTATGTAATTTCTTGGCATATAATTGTTCATAGTAGTCTCTTATAATCCTATGTAGTTGTGTAGTATTAGTTATAATCTTTCCTCTTTCATTTCTAATTTTATTTATTTGAACCTCCTTTCTTTTTTCCTTAAAACATTATCTTCTAGATAAATGTTTATGAATTTTGTTTATCTTTTCAAAGAACCTCTCTTAGTTTTGTTGATCCTTTTTATTTTTTTTCTGATCTCTATTTCATTTATTTCTGCTCTGATCTTTATTATTTCCTGCCTTCTGCTAATTTTGGGCTTAATTTGTTCTTTTTTTTCCTAGTTCTTTGAGGTGTAAAGTTAGGTTGTTTACTTGAGATCTTTCTAATTTCTTAATATCTGTGTTTATGGCTATAAATTTTCCTCTCAGAACTACTTTTACTGCATTCCACAAACTTAATATATTGTATTTTCATTTGCATTTGTTTTGAGATAATTTTTTATTTCTCTTGATTTCTTCTTTGACTCATTGATTGCTCAAAAGTATGTTGTTTAGTTTCCACATATTTGTAGGTCTTCTCACTTTCCTCTTGTTGTTGATTTCTAGTTTCATACTGTTGTGGTCAGAAAAGATAGTTCGTATGATTTCAATCTTTTTAAATTTGCTAAGATTTGTTTTTTGTCCTGTCATATGATCTGTCCTGGAGAATGTTCCATGTGCACTTAAGAAGAGTGTGTATTCTGCTGCTATTTGATGGAATGTTTTTTATATGTCTATTAAGTCCATTTATTCTAAAGTATGGTTCAATTCCAATGTTTCTTTGTTGATTTTTCTGTCTGGACGTTTTATCCTTTGCTGATAATGGGGTATTGAAGTCCCCTACTGTCATTGTATGGTGGTTTGTTTCTCCCTTAAGATCTTTTAGTATTTTGCTTAATATATTTTGCTTGTTCAGGTGTTGGGAGCATATATATTTACAATCGCTATATCTTCTTATAGTATTGACTCCTTTATCATTATATAATGACCTTCTTTGTCTCTTGTTACCATTTTTGGCTTGAAGTCTGTTTTGTCTAAGTATGGCTACACTCACTTTGTTTTGTTTTCTGCTTGCTTGGAATATCATCTTCCATCCCTTCACTTGGAGCCTATGTGTGTCTTTAGAGCTGAAATGAGTCTCCTGTAGGCAACAAATAGTTGGGTCTTGTTTTTTTATCTATCGAGCCACTTTGTGCCTTTTGATTGTTGAGCTCAATTCATTTACATTTAGGGTGATTATTGATATGTAAGGACTTACTACTGCCTTTTTATCTTTTGCCTTCTGGTTATTTTGTATCTCTATTTCTTTTTCCGTCTGTTTTTGTCTACCTTTGTAAGTTGGTGGTTTTCTATGGTGATTTGCTCATTCTCCCCTTTTTTAATGTTTCGTGTCTCTGCTCTAGATTTTTGCTTTGTGGTTACCATGAAGTTTACATAAAATATCTCATAGATAAAATAGTCCATTTTCTGGTGATAGCAACTTGTCTTCATTTGCCTATAGAGGTTCCATACTTTTATTCCTCCCCTTTTGGCCCTGAGCTAACATCTGTTGCCAAACTTCCTCTCTTAGCTTGAGGAAGATTGTCCCTGAGCTAACATCCATGCTAATCTTCTTCTGTTTTGTATGTGAGATGCCACCACAGAATGGCTTGATGAGTGGTGTGTAGGTCTGCGCCCAGGATCCGAACCCATGAACCCCGGGCTGCTGAAGCAAAGTGTGCAAACTTAACCACTACACCACTGGCCATCCCCTGCTTTTTATATTTTTGATGTCACAAATTATCTCTTTTTATGCTGTAGATTCATTACCAAATTGTAGAAGCTGTAGTTATTTTAATGCTCTCTTCCTTTAACATTTATGCTATAATTGTTTAACACTGTTCTAAAATAAAGTTGCAGGTTTCTAATTCTGACTGTCTTTTTATCACCTTAATCAGAGTTTTGCAT